TATAAAAATATAATAATCTAGTAATTATAAATATATATAAAATGAATAACTAATCTTAAAAACTAACCATAAGCCTCTTTATATAAAAATGTTTTTAGCTTTTTCTTAAAGCTATCCAAACTTGAACATAATCTAATAATCTAATAATAATCTAATAGTTTCATGCATGAGCTCAATAATATAATAAAAAGATAGTGATGTACATGCAGTGGTAGTAGTGCATTTATACTCTCAACCCTGATTCTCTGAGGCTCCCTTCCTGTCCAATTCACCATTTTCCATACATTGGTTCACTGGTCAAACACAAAGCCCTCAAGCGAGGCRCCAAGGTACTTTCAAAGGATTATTCAAATTTGAACCTTGCAACCTCAACTGAATGCTTTTCGTTTGACCAGTGAAACGATGTACGGAAAATGGTCTATTCAGATTCAACCTAGATGTTGCTAGTCAGGCTGTGATTTAAAACAGCCAAGAGGTTGTTTCTGGGTTTGACAAATATTGATAAACTTGCTTTTTGTTTCATTTAATATAGCTTACTTGTTTTTCAAGAATTTGCTGTTCTTTGTCTCGAACTTCTAGCTTCACTTCTGCAAGCCTCTGCATAAAAAAGAATATTTGAATAGCATAATCATTATTGATTGAAAATCACAATTTAGCTGCATTCTCGCAGCTTATGATTAACTCCAAATGGTCAGGATCCAGGCTCAAGAAGCGATGGACATCAAGTATGGCTTTGAAAAACATAAAGAGTCAAGTGAACGACTTGGCTGGCTCATCAACATGCATCCTGTAAGTTTTCACAATCTTGTTCAATGCAAGTACTGTATTTACTAATTTTGCTGGAATCAAAGTTGGTTTTGGTGTAGTTCACTCAGTCATCCCCTATGGGATATATTCAAATTATTTCAAGTTCGCCTTTGCTCATTCTTAGTCTCGGTTGTGTGCAAATGTGTTCTTTTCTTTTCTTTATCTTAACTAATAGCAGCATGCAATTGAGGTTATTATCAAAATTAAAATTAGTTCATTAATCTTTCTCACCACAGCAAGAATATCCATTTCTCTGTCTCTCTTCTGCATTTGTTCTATTGTGCTTTCCCACTGTTTCAACAGCTCTTGTCTATCGATATGTGCTTTACGGAACTCCTCTGCTGTTTTATCCATTTCAATCTATAAAACAGTGTTTATTACATCATTTACGATGCTAAAAACATTATTACTAAATAGCCATTACATAGAATAGTCTTTTTACCGCATGTTAATCAGGTAAGGAAAGATAGGTTGCAGGATATTTTTCATCCTGTCCTTTATTTCCCTTCCTCCAATGATAGACAAGGATAACAAAGTACTTTGTAGTGCCATTTGTAAATTAAGGTAATTGTCTCAGCACTATGCACATGCATGCTGCATACAGCTATGCATATAATGCACATGTGACTGATAGACTGGATATACCTGAGTGGATTATTAAATTATATGTACTGTATGGGAATGGATCTCAAATCAATGTATGTTTGTTTTGAGGCTTATGTGAATAATATATATAAATGAATATACAAACTAAACTAAACTAAACTTACCTGTGCTGTCATTGTTTGTGTCAGCTCATGTTCCAAAGCTTTGCGCTTCTTTGCAGCATCATCTGTCATTCTCTCCATTCTCAAAGAAAGTTCCTGATAATTAACACAGTTACATATTAAAGTACCAGTGAGATAAGCAAATCTGATACCTAATTATTTTACTCTAGATTCAATATATTCAATGTTTTTGCTTAGCTTCCTAAAATGTTCTTACCTTGATTTTGCTTTCATCAGCTCTAGTGTACTTTTGTAATGTTAAAGAATCCTCATCCTTTCTGGCTGACTCTTCAAGCCATGCCTCTAAAGCTTTTTGATCCCAGTTCATTTGACCTTTGAGGTCTTCAAGCTTTTGAGTGGTTCTGAATATGTTGTTCTGGTAAAAAGAAGTGGTTTTATGAGGCTAATGCTTTTCTGAATACTACAGCCTGTACAAAAGCTTATTCAGGACTATGTTTTAGAAGGGTTAAAATGAGAACTGGGAATTGCATATTTCCCCCTGAGAACAATGGGAATTAGGTCACTGGGAAAGAAATTAAAACAGGACACCAAAATGGGAATGGGAAAATGTTTTTAAATGAAAAATATTTGGGATTTGGATGCTGGGAAGTGGGATCAAAAAACAAATTGATGGGAAATGGGGTTGGCACCCCTCTCCTTTCAGGACAGTTTGAAGGATTAAATATTGGTATATTAAATCATACAGTAAATATCCTAAGCTCCTATATGAGGTAATTATATATATACTGATGAACTCTGCGAAATCACTGTTAGATAGTTACTTCTTATAGGTGATGCTACATAATTACATAGTTATTAACACACACCAATGCCGTCCATACCTCATACATATTTTTCCTTTCCTTCAGCTCATTGATTTCATTGTTGATTCGCTTAGAATCATTTCTCAATCTGCCTTCTTCTCTTTCAGCTAAAAYGAAAAACAGGAATTTTCAAAAATCAATGATCATAATTAGTTGCTTACAAATTTGTATGATGATATGGGATTAAGTATTAATTATTATCCAAAGGGGTTATGTCTGGAGAATCTTTCATTTGTAATAAAATAAGGAAGCTCCAAGGCCTACTCCAATAAGATAATTATGCAGTATTGTTCAACATGTACAGCCATTTTTGAATGAACCATTTGATTTCCAGATATCTAAAGCTTCTTTCGTTTATTGTGGAAATACCCCTTAAACTCCTTCCTTTATATTTCATAACTGTACATGGACCTCACATGGTAGCAATGTTGACTAGAACAACAGATTTCCTCCCCATAGATTAGAGTGCTTCAGGATGAGGTTACATGTGGTAAAAACACGATGCCATTAAAACATGATGCCATGCGATTAAAGATTCATAATTTATAAAACCAGTTAGATCTTAAACTTACCAACTTGGCGAAAGTGGTCCTCCGTTTCAATTTCTTTTTTCCTTGCATTTAAAAGCTCCTATTGAGATAGAGATAGTATGTGACCAATGTAGGGGGGGGGGGGAGTGGGGGGGGGGGGGGGGGGGGGGGGGTAATAATAAAAACTAGAAAGCTGTTTGGTATACAAATTAAATGACAAGTCAAAACGAATTCTACTTTTCATGGTTTTTCAAGCTTATAAAAAAGTTGTGACATCAGATTAGTGTATTATGAACAAGGATTGCAAAGCATCTATAGTTTTGAGAGGAGTGAGGGGGGAGTGATGCAGGGCTAAATGTCAGGGGTTAAGGGGAATTAATGCCCCCTGCACCTTGAAAAGTTTGAAATTGGGGCTTAAAAAGTTCCCCCACCTCAGAGGTCCCTGATCTGACTTAGAAAAATTTTATTGCATCACACTTTGGCTTCATCAATATAACTTTTGACCGCTGATGTTAGAATGTGTTTGATTAGTCATATGTCATACATAAACCAAAAGACAGGGGACCAATTGTACGAAGGATGATTAGCACTATCCAATGGATAAACCGGCCTTATCCAGTGGATAAGATAATGCTGTTATCCAAGAAATAAAATTTATCCAATGAATAAGATTTATTTATCAGATAGTGCTATCCACCCCTCAAACGACCAGGCCCAGATGTTTTATATTAGCTAAGGTAGCAGGAACACAAAAAGGACTTTCAATATTTTAGTGTTGCAGTCTATGAATTTCTGGCTTACTTGAGTATGGTGGAGTTCTTGTTGAACATTTTTGAAGTGTTCACTCATAGCATATACCCTGTCCTTATTTTCGTCTATTTGATCTTTAAGTACAACAAGGTTTTTCTGCATTCCATCCACCTAAAAACACATACCAAAGAAGTTGAAAGAACGCATAAGCTCTTATCTAGTAAATACTGAAAACAAACTTGAAATTTGTACGTATATAAATTGTAGATTTGTCAGCACAAATTTGATAGAAGGCAAAGTGACATATAATGCTTGGCAAGCATGATTAGAGTGGTTTCATAATGCAGCTAGTAGCATATTTAATATACTTTTGGTCCTTAACGAACGTTCTATTTTTATTTACCTTAAACTCCAGTTGCTTGTTTTCAAGGTTTGCTACAGGCATAGCAATGCCTTCATCGAAGTTCAAGTCACTCAATACTTCGTCCATTTTGAATTCAAAACGCGCTTCAAATAAACACTCTTGCTTCTTAAAATCTTTTAGAAATATCAGCTAAAATGAAGTGAGCCCCTTTCTATATTACAGCAAGAATTCAGAGAAACTGGAGTGAAAAGAAAAGGGGAAAAACGATGGTTAATAACAGAGATCTTTACTGAAAACTGTTTTTCACCTGAAGTTCAATCTTCGTCTGTTGTCATGGAAACCAAAGCAAAAACAAGGGTTCCCGTATGAGGTCGAGTCCACGGTGTTCTTGTCAGCGGCATTATTTCTTCGTGTTATAGTCACCAAAAACATGTGGAGTAGTAGTTAAAGATTGTTTTCGATATTCGTAAGATATTTTTTATTTTCGTCGTGGATTAATAGCTTAAATGCAAAGGGTTTGGTGATTTTTAAGAGCATAAAAGATCAAATATGTCCAGGGTAACGCGATCGAGCAGCAAGAAAGCCAAACTTCTTGAAAATAGTAAAATCAATGAAGACAAAGATCCAAAATGTGAGGAAGTTCCAGCAGATAGTTCAGAAGATGTTAAAAGATTAGGGGAGAATGAACCCGATGTGATTAGTGAGACTGAAGACGATGAAGCACCGGAAAGCATTTCTCTGAGTGCAAGCAAAGAAGCAGCTATCGCAGAAATTCACAAAGAAAAAGAAACGGTAGATTCTTTGAGAGAGAAAGAAAAACAACGAAGAAGAGAAAGAGATGAGATCCTTAAACAGCAGAAAGAATCGCGCAAAGCTCGTGAACTCGTCCGACTACCAGCTGAGATTCTAGAAAAAGTTACGAAGAAGCAGGAATTGGATGCTAAGCAACAGAAAAATATTAAGGGAGCTCATGTTGTGACTCCTAAACATGTCACCTTTGATAGTGATGATGATGATGACAATAAAGAGGACAAGAACAACAAAGAGGATGAGAATATGACACAAGTCCCAGTCGGTGAAGAACCAAAAGGTCTACAAGTAGTAGTTTTAAACCAAGCAAGTAAAAATACAAAAAGAGTTATTGATTCTGCTAGTGAGTTTCTTAAGAACCATTTCTATGGTGATAGGTTGAAAAGAGTTGAAACTTTGGATGATGAGACTCAAAAAAGAAAACATAAGAAGTTGGAGCCTGCAATCAAGTTTTCTAAGAATGCTGGAAAGCGATAGATATTTTTATTTAGAGGAAGAATCGTTGCTATTCAGAATCCACAAGCTGACCTCAGCTGCTTTGCCAGGGAGAGTTACACAGGGAGAGGGTATGGATAATTCCTGGAATTTTACATTCAGATATTCTCGTTTTCACTTAAAAAGGATCAGAGTCAGAATCAAAATCAGAAGAAAATGGAAACCTTCCAATCCCTGTTTTTTTCAATCCAAAAAAATGGAGAATCCATAAATTTCTTCAATCAGCTGAATAAATTTTATGACATTTATAACCAAATTCTTTCAAGAATAAACTCTGCCAATGCTCAATCATGCATCATCCCTGTACATTCTTACTAGAAACTTTCCAGTCAGCTGGTAAAACAATCCATATGAGATTGGAAATGACATTGACTTAAGGTATTAGGATACGTTTATGACCACTATGCGCGCAAACTTAAATAAAGCGCTGGCTTTATAGTATAACACGAACAAAGTATACATTTTCTGAAAGCTGAGTAAACATAGTTTATGAAGAAATTTTCAAAATACGATTTTTTTTAAATTGTTGTTCACATTATTGCCCTCGAAGCGAAATTTGACTATGCCTCAGTGAAAACGTTAACGGACACGTACATTTTAAGCTATGTTTGATAATAAGCTCAAAAAGGGTGTCCCAGATTTTTGATATCTGTTTTCTATCTCTCGCTATTTTTGATCAAAGTTCAGCGATCGCTTTTGGAGTGTTGTTTACAGTAAAAAGTGTCATAACTTTGGAAAGAAATTAAATTTCAAAATTCGGAGACACCCTTTTTTGGATCATGAGTTATTTTATAAACTCTCCAAATTTTGAAAAGATTGAATGAAATCCAAGGGACTCTTAGCTCTTTGAAGTTGAGGTTTTAGCGGCAAAAAAGATTCGAGAAAAACACATTTCTTTGTTTGGAGCCGGAAGCTGCAGGGAGCCACGATGGTGTTGGCCAAAACACCTTGAGCCTTCCATTTTGTCATCACTTTTCAAATTATCTGGCGTTCTGGACAATCGCAATGTAGGATCTTTTTACACAGGGCTCAAAATAGCGGCCTGCCAATGGCCAAATGACAGGACAAATTTCATGCTTGCCAGGCGAAAATAGGGATGCACTGCCAAATGAATAATAAAATGACATGCAAAATTTACTGGAATGACCTCCTTTTACCATGCTCCTTTACTATGGCAGGCTAAAAAAAGTTTTCTATTTAGAGCCCTGTTACAATGACAAAGGAGCATGACAGATGTGCATATATTAAGCGACGGTACATTTCCGGTCTTGATAAAGTCAGGATTTCGATTTTTCTCAAAATTTTGGCTTTTCCAATCAAAAATTGCAAGAAGTTTCACAAACATATGAAAGATAAAAGTTTAAAATTACGAAATTWAAAAAAAAAATTTTTTTCCAAGCAATTCGTCATTTTTCGTATCCTAATACCTTAATAGCAACTGGTGGTAAAAGTCAACACTGCTTTTGATCCTGATCGAACAGTTCTAAGCCATCAGTAAAGAATCAAATAACATTGATTTCTTTCAAGGGATGCCTGATCTAGACTTGAGCTTTTCATGGATTTCTGCCCCGGGTCGTCCTTCGCGAATTTGCAAGATGTGATCCCATTGGAGGGCACACGTGTAGAACAATAGAAAACAATGACCTTTCCCCAACCAATCACAGGGGATGTTGCAAATTTGTGAAGCCTAACCCATTTCTGCAGGGCACCCTCGAAAATAGGAGTTAGTTTAGAAAAGTATGCTAAAAATAACTATATAGCGATATTTTTGAGGCATGCATGTACATGTAGTAGGAAGATAGTAAGGAGGTTCTGGGGTAAATATTAAAATAAAGTTTGTTGTCAGGTGCAAGCAGTTATTTAAAAAAAATTCACATGCAAAATGCAGGGCTAAAGTTCAAAAGCAAAATCAAGTACAAATGCAGTGCAATAAGACATCCTTGTCCATTACTAGCCAGAGAAAACAGTCGCTCCACCGTCCCCTTACTTTAGGACCTCTGTTTTCTCATGTCCACACATATCCTGATATTTTTGAAAACTATTTGCTTTTGCGACAAATTTGATTTTGGTAGACTTCAATCATGGCTTTCTCAAGACATTACATAGGCACCTGCTCTTGAAAACTGTTTTTTCCAATGTCATGGAAACACTTTGATTGATGTCCACCAAAATGAAGTTCGTGCAAAAATGCAACTTTTTGAAAATGGATGTGGACATGACATGCACAGGAAAATTATTTGAATATGCTACATGTGGACAATTTTTGTTGAAAAATATTAAATAGACAAATCTGTTTTCAAATATATATCCAGAAGCGTGTGGACAGGGATAGGCTTTCTCAAGTCTACCGCCCTTCTATGTATTTATAATAGCGTGCAACGCAACTCACAGGAGTCAAGAGGAGCCGCCAAGAGAGGTCAACTTTGGGTTAATAGACAAGGTATCAAGCTGACAATTTTATTTATTCACACATCCTTTACAGTGTGGCTATCTCTAAATTAAAGTTAATAAAAAACTAAATGACACGGCTCAAAAACTAGACATTCAACTACGCAATTAAGTAAAACTGAAATGAAGTAAAAAATAAAACCACTCATTACTAAGAAAAACTATTAAATAACACATCCTAAAAAAAGTAGGCATTAAACTATGAAACAATAAACTGAAATTGAAATTAAGTAAAAAACTAAACCACTTCGATTGCTAACAATTAGTGCAGAAAAGGACCCATCAAAAAATGAAATTTTAAATTTTTGTGGCCAAGGCTTTTTTAAGATATTCAACTGGTTCACAACAAATAGCTGTTTATATGCTTATTTCAGAGCAAAGGTTGTCAAAGTAAGATGAGTGACGGAACATTCTAAGACCCAAAGGAATTCTAGTTATGGGAATACAACTAAACATGAATGATCGAGGCCTTTAAAATGGATTCATCCACTACAAATGAAATTGGATATCTCTACACTAACCTCAGTGTTAATGTTCTGGACGAGAATAACAAAAAGAAACACTAGTCGTTCCAACAACATTTTGATTTTGGAATGACCTATGTCCTAATGGCTATTGCCTATGTATGGCTCTGACAACCATTTTGAAATTAGCCACTCTGAGGTTGTCTATTTTCTTCCTCTAAAACCATCCCACCATGCAGTGTAATGACAACTCAACCTCGAAATGGCTCATAAGTACAGCATTGTGAAACTATCTTGAGTTGTCTGTTGAGAGACAAGTTTCCAAAGGTATGACATGAAACACCCCTCAGGAAACCTATCTTGCAACATCATTCCACATGATCATCAGTTAAAATTTCATCTAAAGGACCTTAATTAGTTCACATAATTCTCCAGTGAAAGAACCTTTTCAATGTGACATACTTAATAAATTATATATATGACATATTAATAATTAATAACTTAAGTAAACCCAAGATATATTCAACATGTTAGTCTAATAAAAGTTAACACTGCTGTAAACACCCATTCCATGGTTTTGTTTTAACCACAAGACTTGTGTTGAAGTTCTACTCAGATGCTGCTTTACTCTCATGCATGTGTTGAGCCAAATTAAAGAATCCTTTTGGTAATCAACCAGCTTAACCATAGTACAGCAAAACACATTGCAATACAGTAGCAGCAACTTCTGGAGTCATATACAGTGCTCTTCTCATGTGCATTCTTTAGCTAGGCATATTGCCTAGAATTAAGCAATACATATTTAACTCAAAATAAACCCTTCGTCTCATTAAAATTACAGCTTCTTGTTAATGCTCATGAGTACAAAGAGCAATGGAAGGCTTATAGCCCATTTCTGAGAGGCATTATCAAGAATGTTTTTTAATCAGTACAATCATCGATGAATTCTATTTTTCTCTGCTACTAAAGGGTGATATCTTCACATATGCACCATTCATTCATTAGAATTCTTAGAAACTGCATTAAATAGTAAAAATCCACCGAAATTGTATTTCGTCAATAATTATATGTTAAACAATATCAAATGACTGCTTGGAGATAAAAATTTTATATTCTTATGTAGAGAATATCTTACTTGTTTCCTGCACTCACTTGTAAGATATCCCCTCAAAACTTGAAGATAAAATCCACATCTCAGCCAGCCAAGTAATACCTCTATGTACTACTGTATTTCACACTTTGAAGCACTTCAAACTTTGCAGTGACCTAGCCTCACTATGATGCACTTGGTTACAACATCTCAGAAATGGGCTTTTTCCTTGGTAGATTTTATTGTACAGGTTAAATACACTAGTTATTCATAGACAACAAAATGAATGAAAAACATTGTACTAAAATGTTCTGAATGATTRCTATTTTACAGGTTAAAGTTCTGTCTTCATGAAGACTACAAGGTTTTGTTCTGGGATTACTGATGTTGTGTTGGTTGGTAATGAACAAATGTACTAGTAGGGCATCAACTGTTATGCAGCTGGAGGTTTTATAATAAATGACACCTAAATATATCATGCATGGCTGGCATGTTCCTAATGCTGAGGCATATATGCTAAGAAAAAAATTAACGGCACTCTTGCATCCTCCTATCCTAATCTTAAATTATAATTTCAAATACATCAGTACATTTACTACAAAGCAACATGGGATAGCTTGGGGAACTAACATACAAGTCTAGCTTGATCAATGCACTTTGTATCCTAGAGTGACCTGCTAGAAAGGCAACCATTTTCAATATTAAAGTTTCATTTTGAAACTACTATTACAATAATTATTCCTCATAGAGGCCCTGTTAGTGGTACATTTTGACTAAAGACATGGCATTGAAAGCCACAAGCTAGTGACAAACAATAGACTGCTCTAATGAATTACAGACAGCAAAGCTGTCATAATAAATTAGGGGTAAGTATTGTGTAGTTCCAGAAATCATCCATACCCATGCCACCCCACAGAGGAATTTGGAATTTCTGAAGCGTAGGGGGGGTCAGAGAAAGAACAAAAATTACAGAGTTTGTATGGAAGAAAATTGGAATTTCCGGGGGTAGGGGGTGTCTTAAAAAAATTCCTCCTTGAGGGGGGTATGGATAATTTTTGGAACTACACATTCCGACATGCAACACAAGAGCAATCCGAAAATGTGACATAGGTAGTTAAGAAGTTTTAAACAGAGGCCAAGGGTACCTCCTAATAGGGCCTCCTTATACAATTTTTTTCAACATAAAAAGCAAACATAAAAGCTGACTGGTAACTAGACTTGGACATTTGATTAGACGTACCCATATATCATGACAGTTTATACTATATACCAAGTTAAGAAGGATACTTAAATACCACGTAAAAGAGTTTGTAACTATATTAAACATTGTGTTTCCATTTCCTCCTTATTCACTTGTTGTATTTAACACACTTATGCAGTCCAAACTAGTAACCGCTAGTCATTATCAGTCTATATTATATGTTGCTTGTTTTAAAATTATAGTAACTTTCTAAGAATGTGTATGAAACGCTAAAACCATTTTGGATTCACCCTTAACTTAAGGTCTTACCAACAATAAATAATGTCCTACTTAAAGGTTTATGTACGTGCACCACTTTGAGGTAATAGGGACACATTGATTGAATCATTAAACTGTTTCTATAGCTACAATGATTGTTTCGACAATAAAATTCTGGCTAAACCCATATTTGAGATAAAAATCTTTGAATAAGGCTTTAAGCTATTGAAAAAATTATAAAGATGCATAGTTAGAAAGAAAGAAAGTATCTTAGTTTCCACATACTTCTTTATGACTTTTTTAGGTCTGGTAATACCACGTCGATATCCATCCAATTACCGACAGCAAAAATCAGGAATGTACATTTTTAATGTCAGTGGTCTTTCTTCTCAGAAAGAGAATAATGACTAATATTTATGAATGATTTTCTTAGTCTTGAACACACAAAACTAAATCAAAACTGGTTACAGTGGCCAAAAATATTGATTTCCTGGAGTCGAATCACCCATGCGTGGACGTAAGGAGACAATCCTAACCCCACCCCTCCATTTATCTTAATAGACCATTTAGCTCCGAACGAAAGGATTATGTAGTTTCAGAGGAAGAAGAATAGACCCAAGTTGGAATAAGGTATAGAAGTATCAATAAGTTATGGATGGCAGAAGTATATTATAACATACCAATTTCCTGCCGCTATTCATAGTGACTTGACATTTGACCTATTTCATAATGACATCAAATGTACAGAAGTAACCCAAAGTTTAGTTGAAGGGACAAAATCGGGGAATTTCAAGAAATATTTTTTGTCTTTGAAATGACAGAATCAGTAATTGTATCCCGTTTTCAGCTGAATTTTGGTGCCTTTTCTTTGCAAAACTTGTTTTGATTGTTATCATTATGAAATAGGATTGTTTCAGTCTTATGGCTGCTTTTGGTTCATAAGCTTCCAATACTTAGCAGTAAATAAATTTTTGCCTTTTAGGGTTTTGGTAACAAAGCTTCCCATCACACTTCCATTTGGTAGCTGGCTGACTCCATTATTTYGTCCTATTGGGACAACCATCATAGGCCGGGATAACTTGTGTTCTTTTAATTTCTTGTTTTCATTCAGTTGCTTGATGTTGAAAGCTACAAGCTCTGTTGAATTATGTATGATATTAAAATAATACAGATTAGTAGCAAGAACGAGGCAGCATGATGACATAGCTCAAGACAGAATTACTGTACGACTACTGAAACTGGGGCCACTTAGCGAGAACCAATCAAAATGTAGAATGAAAACAATGCAATCCAACTTTGGGCAGTGGAGCTTAGTTTAGTTTAGTTTTCATTTAATGATTTTGTCACCAAAATAACAATACATTACAAAAGAATTAAATAACAATGGACAAAAGAAATGGGAAGTGATGGAAGAAAGGAACAGAACTTACGTCCCAATTTGCAACCTAACCCTTTATTTAATATATAAACATTAAAGCACAATGGAAAGCTATAGAAAAAGAAAATATATGTACTATAATTTTATATAAAATCCACATAGAGAAATAATTTCAATAATTATTAGTAATGAAGGCGTGATTTGTCACGCACTAGACAAAGTAACAACACAGAGAAAGATAGTGTTAGGAAGCACTGTACAGATAATCAGTCTTCAACACATTGTTTTATTCCCTTGCACTCTGTCAGATGCTCTGGCTGTATGCCCATATAATTCCTTTCCATCTTGGAATGACCTAGCCCCTATCTCCTTTGGCTCCAACAATCTCTTTAGAAATAGATTTTTATGAATAAAAAGACATCATCATTCTTTTGATAAAATTATTTTACCTCCTTGAACTCCAGCAACATAAGCTAACTTCATTTCATCTGTGTTGTTACAGTCACCAACAGCAAAGACATCATCCATCTCTTCCACCTGCAGGTACTTGTTCACCTTTAAAGTACCGGTATTGTGGTCCATCTTGTCAGACAGTTTAGAGCGATATGCATCTGCATTGACTTTAAATCCAGTGCATCGTAAAACTAAATCTGCTTCAATGGAGGTTCCCTTGTCGGTGGTTAGAGTTATGGGACCACTTACCCAAGACTTCTGGCCATCAAACTTTGCATCAAATTGGGAAACAAAAAAAAAACAAAAAAAAAAAGAGTTAGAAAAGCAGCTAAAAAAATAGCATTCTAGCCAAGACATTTTTTCATACAAATTGTTAGTTATCCTCTTATAATTAATCTTATTGTTGGCATTTTTCCTACAGTTGACTATAGTAGCTGCAACCTCGCCTAATAAATTTAATGAAATGTTCTTTTAATCGTTAACACACGGGGTAGTGTCATTTGACCTATTAGATGAACATGCAAATGGCCTATTCTATGCATGGAAATGAAAATGAGACAACGCAGCGAAACGTTTTTCCAAAGGTTACTACTTTTACTAAGCCAGGGCATAAAACAATGGCTGGTTATTGGATGGTGCCTGGCCAGAATTAATTTTCTGGTCAAATCTGTGCCTTGCCGGTTATTTTGAACAGCTACATTGATCCAGAAATGAGGTAAAATTATTTGGGCCAGTCATCATAAACATTGACAGAATGGTATGTTGTTTCAAGCCCTGTGTGGAAACACTCTTATGACCAGGACCAATATTCTACATAGCTAATCAACCATTCAATGCAAGCCAATCACGAGCAAGCAGCAAAACCAAGACCTGAATGAAACAGGGCTGTGATTAGCTGGTTCTGTTCTCTCCTGATTGGCTCTAACTTTTACTCTTAATCATGATTGGCTAGCTTTGGAAAAAAGGCCCTGGTAGATTGTGTCGACATTGTGATTGGAAACATTTTCTTATCTATTACATTAATTTTCTATTAGTTTACAAAAACATAGGGTTACTGTAAACATTCTTAGTATATTCTTACATTGAGTTCTTCCATTGCCACCTTTTCACCAAGTACAGTCGTAATCTTCATTGACTTCACTGCACTGTGTACCTTCTTCAAGAACTTTTCAGACATTCTTTCATCAATAAGCCTATCTCTTGAATGAATTATTGTCACCTGCTTGTCTGGATAATCACAAGCAATTTCACCAGCCATCTCAACCCCTACTGGACCTCCACCAATAATTGCAATTTTTTTGCTGTTTTTGACCTATAAATTGAACAAAACACCACTCACTGAACTATAATTATTATAACTATAATTATAATTATTTTTATGTGATCAGACAAGAAATGATTGCTTAGTCGTCCAAGCCAGAGGCTCATGAACAATGTTTGATGCTACCCAGCTGATCTGAGATCGTAACATTGACATGACGTCACTGCAAAACTGAGGTATTATATTATGTGTAAAAAGACCAGCGAAAAATATAAATACGTTCCCCATTGCAATAAAAATATAAAACTCATTAGTTATTGTGTTACAGTCATCAACCTCTTATTAGCAACTTTATTATTTTTCATTTAGTAGCCTGGAAATCCATAATTTCAAATGGAAAAGTGACACCTCAGTTTTAAAAATTTTCTCTCAGATTAGCTGGATATTCAATTGACATTTAGAGCCAAGTAGAATTTTACGGTTGGAGGATTCTACTTCTCCACCTTTTTAACATAATTTTAGCTAGCTTAATAAGTAAGTCCTGAGTTATTCTATTCTAGGTTAATAAACCAATGTATCTCTCTTTTGTTAATATTTCTTATTGTGATTTTATTTTAATGGAGCTATAACTCATTGGTCCCCCCCCCCTCCCAAAATATCTAAAAACCTATGTAACTTAAGGTCTATTCTTAAGTAATTAGTTATGAATTATTTAATACAATAAAATGCACAAAAATGCATCAATTAGCTTTTGCAATAAGCATATGTTTATACTTCTTCATTTAATTAGCAAATTCATATTATTTAATATCACGGATGGTAAGTGGAATTGGTTCTGAATTGCACTTATGATATCCTAGATATATGTCTTTGCACTCACGGTCAGTGCAAATGAAATTTGATCCATTCGAAACAGGTTACCATAAGCGTGTTACAGAATTCCAAAACTTATTTTGACTCGACATGTCATTTTGTACTAATTTTGTAGTCTTATATAGTGTACAACTTAGCTCAAGAAGTATTATTCATGAATGAAGCCATGGTATCTTATAAGATACAGTTCAAATTAGGTGATGGCACCCTGATATATGCAGTCCACAAAGCCATCCAACAGAACGAAGATTGTCAGGTGCATAGAATACAGAGGCATATAGCCAGGATTTTTCTGGGGGGAAGGGGGGTGGGGGCACAAATCCAAAAAGCAGACAAATCCCTAGGATCCCTTCTTGTGACTCTTTTGATAAACATAGTCTAAAAGTATGTGGTCTACAACTTAGGCCATCATCATCATCATCATTATCATCATCATCAAGAATTAAGTGTCACTGTCATACTTGAATGTATGTTCATATCATACCTCTTTTGCCAGGTCTTCATAAAGCTTTTGTGCATCATCTTTAGACATTCCAAGAGGTACTTTGCCTGTAAAGTTAGAAATTACACTTACAATAGCTGTTATTACAGTTGAGACGGCAAGGAGATATTCCTTTGTTTAAAAAATCATCCAAGTGAGGCTATCTGACAGATACAATGCTTCTTGTCTCATTTACATCTGATTTGCGTGCATGCATCTATAATAACTGCTGTCTTAAAACCAAAAATCACTCCCTGTACTGGGCCCTTCCATGAGGTTCATTCTTCCAGAGAGCTGTGATTATTGATTTAACAGCAATCCATTTTTAATAGACCTATCCCGAATTGGCTTGACTGACCAGGAAACGATGGTTTGAACTCGAGACTGAACTTGATTCTTTTATTCATCAAGTTCAACCTTGACTTGACTTGTTTCGTGACCAGTCAAGCGAATTCAGGATATCCTGTCTATTGTCTGTTTGTCATTAGAGCCATTTCTAAATTTCCCAAAATTAATTATTCAAGTCAGAACAAAGAGGAATTGAGTTTCTGTAGACGCAATTAAAAGTTGGTAGGCTCATTAAATTCATCTTTGCATACAAACTGTTGATTGATGCCTAGCAAAATTTAATTTCGCTGTCTTAAAACACTCAAGTAACTGTCATATTTTGTTAACATTTCAAACTTACCTGGAAAAGGATTTGATGAACCACAAGCAAAAATTAAATAATCATATTGAATTTCCTGTCCATCAGAAAGGGTGACTTTCTTGAGCGACAGATGTACACTGACACACTTGGCTTTGATGAATGTACCGTGCTGAAGGGCATTTTCATAGGGAATCAGTGTCTTTTTGATGAATGATGGTTCTACAACACCCCTCAAGGCAGCAACATTGTTGTGAAATGCATCTTTTGGGTCAATTAGGGTGACCTGGCAATATGAATCCAACTGGACTGCTGCATTTATACCACCAAATCCTCCACCCACAATGACTACGTGGCATTGGTACCTGGGTTTAGACGCTGATGTGCCCATCACATCACACCACTTAAACACCAAAGCCTACCTATGTGGTGAAAGTAACAAGTATACTTATAATTAATGTTATAAGAATTGACTGACTATCTTGTTTAGATCTAAGGAGAGGGCGCGCACACACAAAATTATTCAAAAATATCTCATAAAAGCAATTTAGAAAACTCATAAATAATTTATGAAGGAAACACAATAGAAATCATGACCATGAAGGTGATTTTATATCTCATATAGATTCGTCCTCACTTGCACTCACATGGTTCGTTTCGTAAAGAATTCTGTACAATATGAGAACATACATCATGAGTTTTCTAAGCCGTTTAATAGACTCACAGATCGTGTTTTATCTGGTCTAAAACCACTCGGCTGCGCCTCGTGTCTTATACCCGATAAAACACTCCTGCTCGTTTATTAAACATTACATAAAATGTGTGCTTTATGAGAACAAACAGCACTCAGGAACACTTTCTGTAATTGCATTTAATGAAAGTAATATACGAAACTTGCTTTTTGCGCTGTTTGCAGTGTTATAAAGCACTTGGAAATTATTAGAGGACTAGAAAAGTATTGAGATGCATTCTACCACCATTGATCGTCATCTAACACTTCTCTTATGTTCTGCCAATTACTACGCATGCTTCATAACTGTACTCAGCACATCAAACAAGAGAAGAAAGCATGGATGTCGTGTGCTGCTAATTTAACACCTTTCACCAATGTAACCTGGATTCTAGCCCTGCCAGGCTCAGTGCCGTACAATGTATATGTGTCGAGTTGTTCTAAAATTCTAATTTGGTCTATCGGCTGCCTTATCAATTTTGTTGCAAAACCTGTCAGGCGTTAAGCCATCCACCCAGAAGTAGTAAAGGTATTAGATTTAGAGAAAGAAAAATGCTAAAAAATCTATGAAGTACACAGCAGAGCCTGATCTTAAGGATAAAGTAACAAAACCACTAATAATTAATGCTGTAATCTTCTAATCCAAGAAAATATAATTAAAGAGAAAACATGAGCTATCATGAGGTTGGCTAACCTGAGTAATTGATAAATTATTCAAACTTTTTACATAATTTGTTAGCATGAATATATTAACAAGATYTGATCTCTAGCTTCCTACAATATTGCAAGACTTTAATTAATGCATAGAAAGTTTGAAGATTGTATAGGATAAGCTTGACCAATGCTCACCAATAAACTTATGCAAATAAATAGAGAGTTCAAAACACAGCCAATTAATGCAGTTTGATTTTTGTTGTTATCCATGCATCATTAAAATTTCAAGCCATAAAAGGATTAATAACAAAGGAATCTCATCTAATAAAAGTTTTTTTGCCTTCACACATACAATCCTAGTTCTCGGCCAATTACAATGTTTTGATTGTTATGTAACATACAACTATTTTATATAACAAAAACTACTCCTTTCTAATAAAAAGAAACTTGAAAATTTAATACTGTGTTATGTATATAGGGAAGCATAGCCACTATTTCTGGACAGCATGCTTTAAATTATTATAAGTCCAAAATAGGAAAATGGTTTGATTGTGACTGTAACTTTTCAGAGTTTGTAGAAATGCAATATTTTTTTAGTAAAACTAGTTTACATCACTCACAAGTTTTTCAAGTATAATATTTGTCACTCCACATTCAGCCTAATGCTACAGTATATTGTCATGCATCTAAAGATAAATCAGTTTTGGTAGTTTATCTTAGAAAGTGTTTGTTCAAGGATATTGGTTTTTACATTTAGTGACATTATTGGGTATTCAGGACTCATTACATTCAAAAAGATGCAAAATACAGTACAACATGGAAAAAGGGAGTATATTTAAAGCTTTAAAGAACTTTTTAGTGTGTGAGAACAACCATAATCAAGCAAGTGAACAACAACAAGTTATATATTATGCGATACTTGTAGCTCTAGCCACCAAGGAATGCAATTTTTTTGCACATCAAAAAGATTTTTGTTTGACAGCAACAGTATGTGTACATTGCCTATAACCTACCTCGTTACTATAGAAACAAGGTGCAACTGGGCCTGGCGTACAGTGTATAAAATGGTTCTGCATTTCAGATCAATAAATTCTTAGAAATCTTATAACAGTCTTTTTATGTTAAAATATACTAAACTCTTTAATCAAAAATAAATACTCTCATTCTATCGCTTTTGAATTTAATCTTAGAAAATCAAAGTTCGATATATGCTACTCATCACCCACACGGTTGGATTTAAGCGTAGTTACCCCTTGATATCTCTTCAAGACTTTTTTACCTCGAGCGAAATTCAAATATTTCTGTGGGAATTTTTTTAGTGCAAGCATGATGGATATCGATCAGACTCGTAAATACTTTACAGGCGAACACCAATTGAATACAACCATGGTCTAAAAATAGTCGGTAAAACTTATTGTCCATTAAAGGTCAAATATTAGCTCCTACAGTGCAAAACTATATCGCTTTGGACTGGATTTAAAAGATATATTAAACCTCTACTAGCAGCAGACGGCCGTCGTGTAGGTTGTCAAAAAACAATATTTGTAGTTTAGATAAGTGAGTTATATTTTAAAGGTTTTTTTTAGATTTTTTTTGTGGGCGAGTGATATATGAACACTACATCGAAGTTCTTCCCAAGATATTTAATATCAGTATACTTGGATCAGACCCAACGATCTTATCTGTTGACAAGCCCTTCTTAGCATTACTTGGAAATCTTTCTATGAACCTCACGTAGTTTTAATAAGGAGAACGGCTTACATCGATATTTAGATCTTCCATTTTGGTTAATTTTTTTCAGTCGCTTTATGCGATGCGAATACGACTGCAAAAACTAACTGCCAGACACGATTTTTGTGTCCTTGTTCRAAATAAATATAAATCCTGGATCTTATTTTCTAGAATGAAAATTCAAATTGCGAAAAATACATAGAAAAAGAATTGAAATATATGGAAAATTTTCCGCTTTTTTGTTGGAAATCGCAACAAAATGACAAACTGATCTTGTGAATTAAATTGTCGGCACAAGCAACACCCAAAAAAGTGAAGGGCGATAACTCTCAAAAACCCAATAGAAAAGAGAACGATTTAAAAAAAAAGAAAATCAGATGCGAAGAGTGCAAAGTAGTAGGTCTAGTTACTAGAGATTTTTGGGTAAACAAAACTAAGATTCATGGGATCTGGCGTTTGCATCTCGGATGAACTTTTTACCTTCTCAACACAACCACTTCAGAGTCCTTCGTGTTTTAGAGCGAAAACAACTGGCAATTTCGCGATAGCCGGAGCACTACCCAACACCTTGGAGCCACCAATGAGTCCTCTACAGTACTAGACTAAAGAATTTTGTTGTTATGGAAAAATGAGGAAGGAAAATCATTTAACCCTCGTGGCGTTGTAATCAAAAACCAATCTGACAGGCCGCCATTTAACATCAGCGTTTGGCTCATCGTTTTTGTCTTTTTGGCTCTGAAATCTTAGAGTCTTCGAATAAAGGCAATCATCACTTGTAATTCTATGGATATAAAATGCTTACAGTCGTTTGCAGCCGTTTCCTTACCTGCGGGAGAGTACAATCCGGCAATCTTCCGGCGTGGCTCTCTTCTCTTTTGCTACACATAAAGTTTACACTCGCTCAGTCTCCTGCTCGTCAGCCATTCGACACACAGGGAGCCCAACTAAAATCCAAGGGATCCCCGTGCGCACCCCTCCCTGGTTCAACTCTGTGCACCCCTCCCTGGGCTAGCTTTGTGCAGTGCACCCCTCCCTGAACAAAATCCTGGATCCACTCCTGGTATTAATAGACGCTTCGCTATTACGGACACTTTTCTATTTTCTATTTTAGTTATACACATTTTTTCTTAAATGAAAGCTTTTAATGCGGATATCCTTGATACGAAAAATTAAACTCGGAATTTTAAAAAGTTTGTAATTAACTTAAAACTTGCTTAATCTTTAATTAAAGAAATAAAGATTTTTTTTTGCTAACTGAAGATAATTTTCCGAAAGTTCAGGGGCTTCATTTTCCTTTTACCCATTCATTGTTCCCCATTCATTTTTTGGTAATGTTTAAAAATGTCTTTCTAGAGGAAAACACGAAACAAAAAATTCTCCTTAAGGAAAAATATGATAATTTTTGTCTGTATGAAGCGTGTTTGAAATATCAGAAAACTTTTTATTTTGTTTTTTATAATTTTTGGAGGTAGCATGGCATGATACGCCTCAAAAGTAAGAGCCTGTTATTCATCTACTCAGTGGTCTTGAATATAGCGCATGAGCAAAGTCGATTCTTCAAATCCAAAATGGCGGACGAGCGAAGGTTTGAAGGCACACAAACTTAAAAGCTGTTTTTCTTGAAGACTGCTAATTAGAATTGTAAGTTTTCCAATTTTCTGCATGTAAATGCGTACTGTTTATTGATTTAAAGAACTTGACTTATATCCTTTAGTGTTTTTGTGTGTTTTGAAGCGTTTTTATTCGAGTGATAATAGTAGGACCGTCACGACGATTGGTATTGCGCGCCAAATAACATTGTATTTTTCTGTCTTAAGTTAATGATTTTCTCCTTTTTACGCGACAAATATATTGAACGCAATAACTTACAACAATTTCGAGGCTTAAATAACTTTCTTTTAATGATTTTTTAAAAATTTTAATATTTCCGAAAATTAGTTTTCTTTTTGCCCCAGGAAAGTGGTCTTTGATTTTGAATCTTTCGCTTGTTTACCGTCCTTTATCAATCTGTCGCACACACCCACGCAAAGTCGGAGCCCTAATGCGAGATTTAACTAAGTAAAACTGCCATTCAGCAATTTTATTCGATGTCTTTGGATTTACCGTTATTGTACGTATAGTCTACAGTTTATATATCGTTATTTTAAGGTCATTGTAGCGCTGGCTTATGATATCGCAATTTGTAAACCCGTTATTTTTATCCGTGTAAATACCGCATAGTTTTAGGAAAACTCTATCCTAACCCAAACAGTTGACTGACTCATAGTTTTTAGGTTTCATTCCTACCAAAGTGTTTATTTATTTGTGTGTTTACAACATTATTTCAAGGTTGATTTTACTTTAAGGTTTAGGTATAGTTTTATATTTGGATATACATGTATTGAGGTTAAAACGCTTTTCCCATTTCAAATCATATATTGTTTCTTTGGAAGTATTTTCTGGAGCAAGACAGAAATCACACTCAAGTATTAAGATTACTGTTTTTGGTATATGTAATTCAATAATGTTATTCAATTTTCTATAAAAAGAATATTACAAGAAGTTATGATAATTTCGTAGTTAAGATTAAATGGCACAGTTTGGCATTTTGCTCTATAAGTGACTAGTTTTTTTGTCACACCCCATCCCATCAAAGGGTTGTATGGTCGTGTACGGGAATTGTCAGGGGAATTCTATTCAAATTCAAATTTCCAGTAATCGGCTAGTAGTCGTACCCTACGATAGCATAAATTAAACTATAATAAATATTTATGTGCACGCGCTGATGATACATCGTTTGAATATGACTAAAAAATGAGACCACCCAACCGAATTTGCTTCGTGGTCTAGGGGTTAGGTTTAGGGTTAGGGTTGGGGTTGGCATTGTAGTAGTTCTTTGGTGCTGAAGGTACCAAGTTGGATTCTTGGTGTCTTCACTTAATTTTTTTTCTAAGTGAGGAGAAGCAAAATTTCTAAGTCACACTCGTGTGTTCGGAAACCTATGACGTACTTCGTTAATCCATACACGACGATAGTACCCATCAAAGCAAGTAAATTATTCTTTATTTACTAGCTATAAAGTAAAAGAATGTCACAAATTTAAACCCTGACAAAGCAGTCAATATAGTCCATTAAGGACCCACATTGGTATTCCACTTTTGGTACTAGCTTGTGCAAAAAAATTGCTAGTGTAAATGTGTTTTAAGAGGGACACTATCGTTCTGAAATATATTTTTGTTTAGATGGTATCCAGTTGATGTTTTTAAAGACCATGGAGGTCAGCAGGGAGGAAGCAAAAAGGATTCTGAGAAGATTAGGTAAAGAAAAAAAATTAGAGTTTGATATTCTGCCACTGACTGCCTGACGCTAAAGTTACTATGCTAATACACTTATTATAGTCACTTGATGAATATCCAATCAGAGAGCAGATATTAAATGGTAAAGGTCTACTTAATTCTCGAACCGATATTTTGACTGAGATGCAATTTTGGTTAGAATATTTGTACAGTAATACCATACATTTATTGATGGGCTGCAAGCATTCCCAAGAGAGTTAAAAAGACCAAAGCATTGCAGTTATTGTGGTGAGGTTAACACTTGATGTTAAATGGCACCACTGTTCCCCTGAGAGGTTGTGATGGCGTAACTTGCAATCAAAGAATTATAGCTTTTCTCAGTTCTCAGTCAAGAAGTTTTTCAAACCAGGAGTTTAAATCTAATTGGTGTGATTTCCATCAATGAAAGAGCCCAATATGAATGGGAAATTGAAAGTAACCTTTACTTAAAATTTGCATTTTATGATATCGATCACTAACACTTTGCATATGTGTTGCAATTGTGTTAGAACTTGAAGCCTATTCTTCAATAGTCAGCACATTCAGAGCACAAGGAGATTTGAACCGGTAAGTTCTTCTTCTTGAAATGATCCGCACTTTGAAGGGCTACAAATGGATCCATTTTGATAGACAGACCTATATAATGGTTAAATTTAGCCCCAAAGCACTTCTTTTTATGGATCACAATATTGACAGTCCTTGCCAACACCAATGAAAAAAGTGGGGAAATATATAGTGCAATTTCGATTTTTCGTTTCAATTTTTAAAAACCCAGAAAATACACCTGATATACTTTCAAGAGCATCTCTTGAAAATAAGATTCTTTGTTTGAATGGTATCCATATTCATGTGTCTTATAAAGCATCAGCAGACTAATTCAATATGTGGCGTCTAAAAAATTATGCTGAAGCAAAAAAAAATCCTGAGAAATTTCTTTGTTTGAAAAAAAAACTTGTCATTGCTTATCACCACCGTAAGTACAGCAGTGGTGCAGCTCAATGGGGTCGAACTGAAAGGTATCCATATTCATGTTTCTTCTTATTTATGCATGGACAAACTAATTCAATATATGGCATGTAAAAAATTATGCTGAGCAAAGAAGGCCTAAGAAATTTCTTTAATTCAAATTTTGGATTTGGTAATGTAATAATAACAATTATTTATCTTTCTTTTAGTGAAAAAAAGAAATTATTGACAGACCTTGGCATTCATCTAAGGTTAGTAATGATCATTAAGGAATGGTCAATGCTTAGCGTGCGTATATCCAGTTATGGATGCAGCAGGAGGTTGCTAAGCATTAAAGAAGCGCAAGAGTTGCACAAGGCGTGGCTGAGTGTAACTCTAGCTTCTTGAGTGCTTAAGCAACCTCCCAAGTGCATCCAGAACTGTATATACGCACAACTGAGCAATGACTATTGCTTTTTAAACATAGTAAATAACAATGCCTAACTTTTGTTTTTTACATTTTAACTACAGCATATCAACTGAGCGACATAGAGCTGAAGTTCGTAGAGCCTTTAGTGATGACAGACTTGGAGCTGTTGCCGAGTGGTAAATGTGGTTTATGATAATGTTAATATTTAGAAGAGAAATTGCAAGTTTGCAAATTTTCATAGAATTCTTCCTGGTTGACAGCACATGGTGAACAAATTATGATATTCAACGACTAATTGAAACCCAGTAAAGAAAACCATATAATTTTTTAAGACATTTTTTAAAATTTAACTGTTTTTAGCTGTATCAGTATCAACTGTGTGATCCTTTTTTACACCCCCCTTTTCTTGTTATCAAGAAAATTAATCAACTTTTCTAAGATTAATTTAAATACACAGTAATTTGATTTTCCCCCCAGTATTGTTGGTCCCAGTACATGTTCTGAATGGGCAGCAGAAGGGCGCCGGCTTGTACCTCTCATGCCTCGCCTGGTGCCACAGACCATACTGAGTGGTACAGCAACTGCTTCAGCAAATGCTGCTGCTGCAGCTAATGCACAAGTCTCCGCACAAGGTTTGTTTCAGATCAGTTGCATAATTTTAACTTTCTACCACAAATGTATTTTTTCTAAAGTAGTTGTAATGTAATGTAAAATATAATGATCTAAAATAATTACTAAAGAGCCATGCTTATTTTTCTCCAGTAAAAAAGACAGCTGTTGGCAATTCTTTGGTGTCGTCCACCACAAGAGAGACTTCTTTTAACAGTAGTACCAGTGGGCCATCGTCTGTAAAACCATCTCCAGTAAAACCACTTGCAAGACAAAGTAAGGCAACTACTTATGGCTGGAGTGCTTGTCATGTTTCTGCTATGTGCCTCCATAACTTTGAGATATTAGAATTTTGGCTTCTGTCAATCAAACATTTGCTGGGTCAGTCTGTTCTATCTAGCTTGAAATGATGCCAGATGTTCTGAACTTGGTTGACTGAAGCCAGTAACATGAGAACATGGCTGTGACTGTATGGCAGATTGTGGGAGTCCTTTAATCATTGCTAACAACTTTTGTATTTCTGTTTTTCAGGTTCTGAGACCATTGATGTGGAATATGACAGTGATGATAACAAAGCAAAGAAAAAGCGCAAACTAAGTCAAAACGTTACTGTGGCTAAACCTTCTCCTAAGATGCTATTGAACGCAACTTCTGTTGTTAACAAACAAGGCACCAAAACTAACTCTGTTAGTACCAGCACCATGACAAAAGTTGGAAAACAACCCTTGACAGCAGGGAATGTCAAGGCAACACAGAAACTAATGCTTCCTGCTTCAGCATCCCAGGTCAAGTTGCTGACTAAAACTGTTTCCATTACTCAGACGGTTTGCCAAGCAAAGACTGTGTTAAATTACAAGACTGTTGCAGCCCCTGCAGCAGTGAAGGTCCAAACTGTGATGAGCCACACAGCTCCCAAAACACAAGTAAAGGTTGCCATTCCATCAAAAAATGTGCTTGTTCCAAAACCCAGCGTATCCACTAGCCCATCTAAGTCTGTTACGTCCCCTATTAAGGCAGGCATCACAATGTCACACCTTGCGGCCAAGCAAAGAGGAAAACAAACAGCAAGATTCAAGCCTGTGCCTGGGACAGTCAAATACAAACCTGTGACTCCAGCTACCAAGGAAACTACTGCTGTAACTATGGCAACAACAAGCTCCAACATTACAACCTTAACAGGTTAGTCAGCACTTGCTCAAAAGCAAGTTGTGCTGGTTACAGAAACATAAAACCCTGTATACTAATCTCAAAATATTTTATCATATAGTTAGGATAGTACACACGCATGGGTTGGTAAAAAACTGTGCTTTGTTAGTGAACGGAGCACAGTGCTGACGCCATTTGCTCGCGAAGTTCTGCTAGATCCTGTGACTGTTTTTCTTTATGTGTAAATAAATTCAATACCAAAAAAATGCTTATGGCTTGTGCTTCTCTTTACGCTTCTTTCATTGCTTACGTCACTTCCTGCGTGCTTTATTACTGAACAGGGCACAGAAAAAGCTGTTTCATTTGTTAAATATAATACCTCTTCCATTGTTTGCTAGGCTCTACCATCTCCAGTATTCCAAGCACCCAGCCTATTGTCAGAGTAATCCAGGTTCCCAGTACTGGAGGGATGGGAATAAGTAAGCCTATGATCGGCATGACAACTGGACTCAGCAAGCCATCAGCCTCTGTTGCCTCTGTAAGTATTTTTGTCACTAGCGCTAAGTTGATAAACTGTCAGAACATTAGATAAAGTTTCCATTTCTTATTTGTAGTATGCCACATGTTAGAATTGCTAGCTGGTTACTGATATATTAATTTTTTCAACATAGGTGTCAAGTGGGACGTCAGTCTTGAAGATCCCTATCAGCACGACAACACAGTCATCAGCTATAACATCAACAACACAAGGTGGAAAGATTTTGTCCCAGGCACCAGCAAAGTCGGTGACTACATCATCAAGCAAGACTGTTGTCATGTCAACCATAGTGGGCGGAACAAAGAAGGTGGTGTTGTCGGTACCTGCACCGGTAACTCCTATCAAGGCTAAACCCAGTGCCGTTGTTGCTACAAGTAGTGCTGCCAAATCAACAGGTATCCCTAACATTATAAATCCTATAAGACTAAAACAAACTAATTGCTAATCACCTCCGCAAAGTACAGCAGTGGCGTAGCTCAATGGGATCAAACTGAAAGCATGTGAAGGTGCCTCTGGCAGCTGCTATATAGTCCTTTCATGACCCCAGAGCACAGCTCTAACCAGCTTGAATTAGTTAGGGTTGATTTGAGAGGATGGAGAAAAAACGGGAAGGCCAGAAAAACACTCGGAGTCAGAAAGACAACCAAACAACCCAGCTCATATGGGGCGACCGGGACTCAAACCCCAGACCTCAGAGGTGAGAGGCGAGCATTTTACCACCATGCCATCTTGACGACCCTTTTTTTCTCCTTCATTGTTTGACTACAGTGTATAACTTCTATTACGCCACTGTAAGTCTTGGTAAGTCTTGCCTTCACAAGCTAGCCCTATTCTTAACCTGCATTTGAAAACAACTAATGCCTGTAAAGAAGCATGTTCCAAGCTTCATTCAATATTTTTCCAAGTTCTGACTCTGCATATTTAAAAAAAAGTAAAATGTTGTCCCTTCAATTTTAGGTATTGGCAGCCAGCTAAGTCAGTCTCCTAGTGAGAAAAAGAAAGCAGCAGAAAAACCTGCTAAGATCACAACAGTACCATCATTGGAATGTACTGAAACAAGCAGTTTTCTAAAAGCCCCACAAGCTACCATACCTAAAACAGGTGCAGCCTCAACACTCTCCAGCCAGGGGAGAACAAGACCTCTACAGACCCTCTTGCCTGCCCCACCTAAGCCAACTGCTGTTACTTCCACTACACCTCTGCCTAGTGCACCGACAGGAAGAAAATTGCCGCAGATTCTCCCTGCTCCTGCTAAGACAACTGTCCTGGTTCCTTTAGCTACTCCAGCTACACAAACAGTTGGTAGTACGACTCTAGTTTCGACAGCAGTGGTGTCTACAGGTGGCTCTAATTCCAAGGTGCCTATGGTTCAGTTAATGTCAAAATCAACTGCGCCTCCTGTGGTATCAAAATTGAGTTTCACCAATGCTTTCCCAGGTTCTAGTACCAGTGTTTCTCCTGCAGGAAGCCAAGCAAAAACATCTTTGACACATTCAGGGTTAATTCCTCAAGTAACCAATGAATCTCCGGGCTCCCTTGTGGAAACATTACCAACAGTACCTGTTGTTTTGGATAACACAGTTAATCTTGTTATCCCAAAGAGCAATGCCAGCTTTACAGATACCCAGAAAGAGCCGACTGACCAAGAAAGCAGAGCACATGATGATAAACCAGAGGAACAAGAGCCATCAAAAGCTGATCACTTAAAAACAGAAGGTGATAATAATACCTCATCTGAAGATGATTCCCTGCTTGTTTGCTCAGAGACTAGTCTACAGGATGGTCCCCTCACACCTGAAGAAATATCCCCTGAAGATAGAGCTGGAAATCTTACTTCTTCTCCGGTGCAACCACTTCAAGCTACAAGTATTTCTTCTAGATCACTACTTGCTGCCCATAATRATAGTGGCCATGAAAAATGTACCTCCACATTTTTGAGCAACGAAAATGTTACAGATTTTCAAGGAAAGACCACTCCAGAAGTGAATGATTCAAGTAAAATTGTGAATGATATCCTCAATGACTTAGATTCTGTTCATGACCTCAAAGAAAAGTCCCAGGCAAAACCATGTGAAAAACAGCCTTCAGCACTGAACGATAGAGATTTTGAAAAATGTAAAGAATTAGAAGAGGTAAAAAATATCTCACTACAAGAAGGACTGGGTGGGAAAAATCTTGCCATGGATGATGTAAAGGACTTTGGTGCAGTCAGTTCTTTTCTCCTGAATTTTGTTGGTGAAAATATGAGTGATCAAAATGCAAGCAATTCTTCAGAGAGCAGTTCTGTCTCCTCTGGTTTGGATTCTAAAGAATTACAAGAAGTAAACGTGGGCTTGAAGCCTGACCAAACAAATGAAATTTTAGCTGAATCCAAACAGCAAAACGAAGGATTAAAAACAACGGTACAATTTTCTCCCGAGAGTAGAGTTTTTTCAGGGAACTTGGATATTAGTAGCATATCTTTGAATATATCAAGTACTAGCAAAGCAGAGGAAAGTTTACAGAACAAAGTAAATCATGATGGGTTTTCACTTGAAAATATACATTCACATTCAAACAAGGTTGACCACGATTTGAAGGATCTCCCTCAGAATTTATTCGGTTGTTCAACGAGCTCCAAAGAGAGCTTGTGCAATCAGAGCTCTGCAACTTTTGTCCAAAGCTCTGTTGAACAAAGTTTAGTTGAGAACTCAAATCAGTATCATCTAAAAGACTCAGTGCAGTGTCCTAGTGAGCAAAGCATGAAAGACTTGCCTCAGACTTCTGTAAACTCAGACATTATTGGTAATATGCTGGCTGCACATGCAAGCTCTAGTTCAGCTGAGCATGAAGAAGGCCTGACTGAAAGTGAAAGACTTGCTTTAGAAGCTATTGCTAATGTCAGAACAAGTGGAAGAAAGAGGAAACCTCCAACAATTCTTTCTCTGTCTCCACCGAGACAAACTAGTGGATGGATAAGGGGTGCTCTAAGGTATGTTAAAGTTGAGTCCAGCTTTAAACACTGCCCCTTACCAGTATTKCAACTTAAATTAATATCATTAATACATTAATTAACATCATTTAACATGTTGACCTTTTTATGCTTACTTCAGTGTTTCTTCAATGCACCAATCAGGGATGCATCTCACATGCCACATGTGCAACGCATATGGATAGCCTACATTTTTAAGGAATTAGTTAAAAGATTGACATTGCAAAGATTGACTTTTTTGATGCACTGACTAGGGGTGTATCACACATGCACATCACATCTGGTTAGGATTCACGCTACTCCTTCAAATCCTTAAAAAGCTCTGGAATTGGAAACACATTTTCAATGCACTTGAAAGGCTCTTGAAAATATAGCTCAATGTTACTTGATGCTCCTGGAATTATCCTTGGAATAGTCCCCTTTACAGTTCCCTGTGCCATCTTGAAAGGTAGCCATGCCTTTGCATCGAAGCAAGACGAACAGTGAGCTTTGCAATGATAGAGACCTTTTTTTAACACCTTGGACAATTCACATGTCCCTATCATTGCAAGCTCACCATTCATCTCGCTTTGATGCAAAGGCACGGCTACCTTTCAAGATGGCGCAAGGAACTGTGAAGGGGGCTATTGTAAAGTATTCTAATTGTAAACGTTCTTGTAGCTCTAAAAACAGCAAGGTGTTGGTAACTCATGGGTACCAACTTGTGCTATTTTCCATTATCTTAAGTCAATGTTACAAGCTTCAAGACTTTTAAAGTCATTGTTAAAATAAATTCATTAAAACATTGTTTTTCTTAGTCTCCATAGAACTGAAATGTTTTTCATCAACAGCTTACTCCAAAAAGTGTGTGGCTACCGTGGTCAAGGTAGAAAAAAGGGAGATCACAGTCCAGTAACATGGTTCCTTAGACCAGGTGAGAATAATATTAACTTGTCTGAGTTCTTACTTTTGTGCAAAATGTAGCATGTAGCACACTTAAATATGGTAAGAATAAATGTGGCAAGTAAGACCCACGTCCCTGTTATCATTAGACTTTTGCAAAGTCCTTATATACTTATATAAGTATATATTTTTACGACCATCACTCCCCATAAGGTGCTCTTCTGTGAGGTTCCCTCCACATGCACTACCACTACATTCTATTATTTACAACATACGACATTCTCCGTATTCGTTCATGTGTGCTCAATAAAGCAATAATAAATGCAGCCCAACTTTCACCCTCACTATAGGCTTTGATTTCTTAACTCTTACTGTTAATGATTATTTTCCTTTTTCTTTATTCTTTTTTTATAGTTGATCCAAATGAGGCTCCAGGATATCTCAAGGTTATCAAAACTCCCATGGATTTTAGCACCATCAAGTCAAAACTGGAGGTTAGTCAAGTAGTTTAAGATGTGTAGGGATGATCTCAAGCTTGCTTTATTTCTTTCTCTCTTTTCATTTTCTTCCCTACTTTCCCTCCTGCCTACTTATATTAGCTGACTTCCTCTTTTCTTCCTTTCTCTCTTTTAATTATGAATTATGTTTTAAGGTGACTGCCTACTTTTGGAAATTGATTTAAGCTTTTTTTAAAACTTTGATTTTCTGAATTGAAATTTAATGCTGATTCCAAATCTGGAAAGAAAAATAGGGTGTCCCGAGCTCRTTTTCGAGATAATCAGCATTTAATGGAAGCCTACGCACGAGCTTTTGGAGTAGAAATTGCGCCACCGGAAGTGATTAGAAAAAAATTAAGATTAATAAGATAATAGTTATTTGCAGACTATATGATTGCGCGAATGAAGGCTAGTCAATCCTTCTACAATAATACATGGATATTTTCGACAAAAAGACAGAGAGATACATTGATTTGTCATATTTTGTAGTTTCGGTGCTCTTAAAAAATCTCACAAAGTCGAACAAAAATCCCTACAAAAATCTATTTTTTCACATGTTCCTGATTTAAACTTTTCCTAAAATGTTGATATAACCTAGATTTTTAGGAGTTTTTTCGAATGAGCTATCAAAAAATATAGAGTCCCGTGCAAAATTTGAGGGTTTTGCCCTGTTGAAGCTCAAAACGCGTATGGTTCTTCAATAAAATCTTGTAGATTTTTCAGCGGTTTTTGAGCGCGCGCTCATCGTGGGCTCAATTCGAACGTTCAAAAGTAGGCAGCCACCTTAATAGCAATAATGAATGCTTCATAAATAACCATAAGTAGTAATACTACTAATTTTAATTTGTCAACTATACCATCATCAAAAACTCTCACTCTAATACTAGATGAACATATTATGACCTAAATGTTGATCTACTGTTGTTGTGTTCAGGCCGGCTTGTACAAGGATTATACAGAATTTTATGATGACATGATACTGACCAAGACAAACTGTTTTAAGTACAACCCTCCAGGACATGATATAAGGAAGGTAAGCGGCTGTTTACAATCAGATCCATGGTTATACAACACAGACCAGGGAGGGGGTGGGTGGGCTATACTGTCATACACATCAACTGCAGTCCAAATATACTGGGAAATAGACCTATCCCGAATTCGATTGACTGACCATGAAACAATGGTTTGAAGTCGAGGTTGAACTTGATTCTTTTATTCATCAAGTTCAACCTCAACTTGAAACCATTGTTTCGTGACCAGTCAAGCGAATTCAGGATAGGTCTATTACATTGATTATTAAATTATTATACTGTGTAGCCTTGAGGTTATAACTATATTATAACTAACATACATCACATACCCCCTCCCCCCCTACACACACACACCCTAATTTTTGCTTTTGCATACTTGGCTATTATATATTTAAATCTTATTCATCTCCCCAACCCTTAACACTTTTTAGGGTGCTCTGCTGCTCTTGCAACAAGCTTTATTTAGACAGTTATTTGTAAATCAGAATGACTAATGATTATTGTTGTGTTCATTCATCTATTGGTTGTAGGACTGTGAAGAGGTTTTTCACTACTTTGAAACAGAATATGAAAAAATGTTGGAAAGATGGGAAAAGGTAGTGTGTATTGCAGTTAATTGTATTGCTTAGTTTGTCTTTGATATATTGATCAGCTGTTTTACAGATTTACATTCACCCAACCATTCATATTATTTCAATCATCAATGCATAAAAACAAATTTATTAATTACTAAGACTTTGGTTATTGTTACATGTATTTTAACATCCCTCCTGGCCTCCCTTTCATTCCTCTCCCCTTCCTCTTTGCCTCCTTCTATCTCCCTTCCTCCATTATCCATGAATCCTTCCATGCATCCATCCCTCCCTCCATCTCTCCGTCCCTCCATTCATCCCCCATTCATCCCTCCCTCCTCTCTCCCTCCCTCCCTCCCTCCCTCCCACTATTCATCCATCCACCCACCCATCCATTCATCCATCCCTCCATCCATCCCTCCATCTATTCATCCATCCATCCATCCA